TTTCTTTCTTTCTTTCTTTCTTTCTTTCTTTCTTTCTTTCTTTCTTTCTTTCTTTCTTTCTTTCTTTCTTTCTTTCTTTCTTTCTTTCTTTCTTTCTTTCTTTCTTTCTTTCTTTCTTCTTTTTTTTTTTTCGTCGTTTTGTGGCGATTCAGTCACTTACAAATGAAATATTCAGATCACCTTCGCTAAAACATCGCCCAGAAAATGTCACAACGTGCAGAGCAGCACCGCATCCATGCTAAGAGTGGCAGAACGACAATTCTATAGGAACAAATCTCGGACCGCTCTAAGCCCGTTTCTCTGTAAGATCACACAATTATCCAACAGTAAACTCGAGCCACGCGTCTTTGTTTGCGTTACAGGAGGATGCATCTGACCCGAACTTTCATTCAAATCCTTTAAGAATTGCTTTCAAATATAACATTAAGGAAGACAAAAGCACCCATTCGATCTCATGCTCCCGAAAAGCACTGTATATTTAGAAGCAAAATGCCAATATTTGTTTTGGTTTCTTATTTTGCTATAAGCCAATTTTTATTTCCATATTGCACTTTTATGGTATATTTTGGGGTGCTGTTGTACAACAGCAAAGCAATAGCCCAGGTATCGATAGCTCGCTTCCCAATATTGTTCTTATAATATATATATATATACATACACATTTCTTTTAGCTCTGAGCCCTCCGGATAGCACTGCAAGGCCAGTGCAAGAGCATCAGCCCTTCTACTCCAAACATTACAACACTCTGCCTTTCTCTCTCTCTCTCTCTCTCTCTCTCTCTTATTTTTTTTTTTTTTTTTCCAGGCCAGTTTCAATGAAGATCTTCACCACGTTCGCCAGCCTCGGCCGGGGCGCAGTGAGCCCCCAGCCTCGCCCGGCCCAGCTCTACCTGCCCGTTCCCGCAGGCAGAGCCCGAGGCCCATCTCCCCGCCCGCAGTGCCCGGAGGCGCGGAGGCACCGCAGCCCGGAGGCTGACGCCGACTTACTGCGCGCCCGGCGCGGGGCCGGGGGGAGCGGGGGCACCGGGAAGCGGGGCTGCCCGCACGGCCGCATTCCCG